AGAAAGGTGGGCTAGTGCAAAGATGAGTAGTGGGGGGGTTGAAGAGGGTTGGAATAGTTTTAAAAAATGCAGTATTAGAATGTGGGGCAGAAGTTTGTGGTTATAGGAGGGTGGGGGCAGGAGGGAAGAGGAGTGATTGGTGGAATGATGAAGTAAAGGGTGTGATAAAAGAGAAAAAGGTAGCTTATGAGAGGTTTTTACAAAGCAGAAGTGTTATAAGAAGAGCAGAGTATATGGAGAGTAAAAGAAAGGTAAAGAGAGTGGTGAGAGAGTGCAAAAGGAGAGCAGATGATAGTGGGAGAGGCACTGTCAAGAAATTTTAATGAAAATAAGAAAAATTTTGGAGTGAGTTAAACAAGTTAAGAAAGCCTAGGGAAAATATGGATTTGTCAGTTAAAAACAGAGTAGGGGAGTTAGTAGATGGGGAGATGGAGGTATTGGGTAGATGGCGAGAATATTTGAGGAACTTTTAAATGTTAAGGAAGAAACAGAGGCAGTAATTTCATGCACTGGTCAGGGAGGTATACCATCTTTTAGGAGTGAAGAAGAGCAGAATGTAAGTGTGGGGAGGTACGTGAGGCATTACGTAAAATGAAAGGGGGTAAAGCAGCTGGAACTGATGGGATCATGACAGAAATGTTAAAAGCAGGGGGGGGGGATATAGTGTTGGAGTGGTTGGTACTTTTGTTTAATAAATGTATGAAAGAGGGGAAGGTACCTAGGGATGGCAGAGAGCATGTATAGTCCCTTTATATAAAGGGAAAGGGGACAAAAGAGACTGTAAAAATTATAGAGGAATAAGCTTACTGAGTATACCAGGAAAAGTGTACGGTAGGGTTATAATTGAAAGAATTAGAGGTAAGACAGAATGTAGGATTGCGGATGAGCAAGGAGGTTTCAGAGTGGGTAGGGGATGTGTAGATCAGGTGTTTACATTGAAGCATATATGTGAACAGTATTTAGATAAAGATAGGGAAGTTTTTATTGCATTTATGGATTTAGAAAAGGCATATGAGAGTGAATAGAGGAGCAGTGTGGCAGATGTTGCAAGTATATGGAATAGGTGGTAAGTTACTAAATGCTGTAAAGAGCTTTATGAGGATAGTGAGGCTCAGGTTAGGGTGTGTAGAAGAGAAGGAGAATACTTCCCGGTAAAAGTAGGTCTTAGACAGGGATGTGTAATGTCACCATGGTTGTTTAATATATTTATAGATGGGGTTGTAAAAGAAGTAAATGCTAGGGTGTTCGGGAGAGGGGTGGGATTAAATTATGGGGAATCAAATTCAAAATGGGAATTGACAGTTACTTTTTGCTGATGATACTGTGCTTATGGGAGATTCTAAAGAAAAATTGCAAAGGTTAGTGGATGAGTTTGAGAATGTGTGTAAAGGTAGAAAGTTGAAAGCGAACATAGAAAAGAGTAAGGTGATGAGGGTATCAAATGATTTAGATAAAGAAAAATTGGATATCAAATTGGGGAGGAGGAGTATGGAAGAAGTGAATGTTTTCAGATACTTGGGAGTTGACGTGTTGGTGGATGGATTTATGAAGGATGAGGTTAACCATAGAATTGATGAGGGAAAAAAGGTGAGTGGTGCATTGAGGTATATGTGGAGTCAAAAACGTTATCTATGGAGGCAAAGAAGGGAATGTATGAAAGTATAGTAGTACCAACACTCTTATATGGATGTGAAGCTTGGGTGGTAAATGCAGCAGCGAGGAGACGGTTGGAGGCAGTGGAGATGTCCTGTCTAAGGGCAATGTGTGGTGTAAATATTATGCAGAAAATTCGGAGTGTGGAAATTAGGAGAAGGTGTGGAGTTAATAAAAGCATTAGTCAGAGAGCAGAAGAAGGGTTGTTGAGGTGGTTTGGTCATTTAGAGAGAATGGATCAAAGTAGAATGACATGGAAAGCATATAAATATATAGGGGAAGGAAAGAGGGGTAGGGGTCGTCCTCGAAAGGGTTGGAAAGAGGGGTAAAGGAGGTTTTGTGGGCGAGGGGCTTGGACTTCCGGCAAGCGTGCATGAGCGTGTTAGATAGGAGTGAATGGAAATGAATGATACTTGGGACCTGACGATCTGTTGGAGTGTGAGCAGGGTAATATTTAGTGAAGGAATTCAGGGAAACCTGGTTATTTTATATAACCGAACTTGAGTCCTGGAAATGGGAAGTACAATGCCCGCACTCTAAAGGAGGGGTTTTGGGATATTAGCAGTTTTGAGGGATATGTTGTGTATCTTTATACGTATATGCTTCTAAACTGTTGTATTCTGAGCACCTCTGCAAAAACAGTGATTATGTGTAAGTGAGGTGAAAGTGTTGAATGATGATGAAAGTATTTTTTTTGGGGGGATTTTTTCTCTTTGGTTCACCCACCTCGGGAGATGGCCGACTTGTTGGGAAAAAAAAAAATACATACAGTGGACCCCCGCCTTAGGATATTAATCCGTTCCTGAGAGCTCATTGTAAGCCGAAATTATCGTTATACGAATTAATTTTCCCCCTAAAAATAATGGAAATCAAATTAATCCATTCCTGACACCTCAAAGTATGAAAAAAAAAAAAATTACCACGTGAAATATTAATTTTAATACACACAAACTGAAGAAGACATGCACAATTACTACTCTGCTAAGAATAGAATTCATGACACTTACCTTTATTGAAGCTCTGGTGATGATTGATGGGATGGGAGAAGGGGAGAGTGTAGAAGTTTAGAAGTGGAATCCGTTTCCATTAGATCTTGAGGTAGCAAGTCCTTTTCCGGGGTTACTTCCCTTCTTTTAATGCCACTAGGACCAGCTTGAGTCACTGGACCTCTGTCACACAACGTATCTGTCCATAGAGCTCAGTACCTCCTGTTCCTTTAAGACTTTCCTAAAATGGGCCATAACATTGTCATTGTACAGGTTGCCAACACGGCTTTCAGTAGCTGTGTCTGGGTGATTTTTATCCATAAAGGTTTGCAGTTCAACCCACTTTGCACACATTTCCTTAATCTTTGAAGTAGGCAACTTCCTCAATTTCTCTCTCCCCTCTGAAGCAGTTTCCTCAGGTCTGGCCTCTTGCTGTTGAAGATGATCTTGCTGCTCATCAGTGGTTAGTTCTTCATTGTCCTCCTCCACCAATTTTTCCACATCCTCCCCTCTAACCTGCAACCCAAGGACTTCCCCAATGCCACAATGGATTCCACAACTGGCATATGCTTCTCGGGGTTAGCCCCAAACCCTTCAAAATCCCTTTCTTCTACACATTGTGGCCACAGTTTCTTCCAAGCAGAGTTCAAGGTCTTATTAGTCACTCTTTCCCAAGTCTTACCTATAAGGTTTACACAACTGAGGATACTAAAATGATCTTTCCAAAACACTCTTAGTCAGTTGAGTGTCTGAGGTCACTTCAAAGCACTTTTGAAACATGGCTTTAGTGTAGAGTTTTTTGAAGTTTGAAATGACCTGCTGGTCCATGGGCTGCAGGAGAGGGGTGGTATTAGGAGGCAAAAACTTGACCTTAATGAAGCTCATGTCCCCAGAAAGTCTCTCTGCCACGTCTGAGGGATGACCAGGAACATTGTCTAATACCCGGAGGCACTTAATGTCCAATTTCTTTTTAATTAGATAATTTTTCACAGTTGGGGCAAATGCATGGTGTAACCAGTCATAGAAAAAGTCCCAAGTGACCCATGCCTTACTGTTTGCCCTCCACAGCACACAAATTAGCCTTGAGGACATTGTTTTACCTTAACCTTCTGGAGTTTGTGATACACCAATAAAGGCTTCACTTTGCAATCACCACTAGCATTAGCACACATCAAAAGAGTAAGCCTGTCTTTCATAGGCTTATGTCCTGGGAGTGCCTTTTCCTCCTGAGTAATGTAGGTCCTGCTTGGCATTTTCTTCCAAAACAGGCCTGTTTCGTCGCAATTAAATACTTGTTCAGGTTTCATTTCTTCACTGTCTATGTACTCCTTGAATTCCTTCACATATTTTTCAGCCGCTTTTTGGTCCGAACTGGCAGCCTTGCCATGCCTTATCACATTATGTATGCCACTACAATTCTTAAATCTCCCAAACCAACCTTTGCTGGCCTTAAATTCACTCACGTCACCACTAGTTGCAGGCATTTTTCTAATTAAATCATCATGCAACTTCCTAGCCTTTTCACATATGATCGCTTGAGAGATGCTATCACCTGCTGTCTGTTTTTCGTTTATCCACACCAACAACAGTCTCTCAACATCTTCTATCACTTGCGGTCTCTGTTTTGAAAACAAATTGCACCTTTTGCAGGAACAGCTTCCTTGAGTGCCGTTTTGTTGGCCAAGATAGTAGCGATGGTTGATTGGGGTTTGGTATACAACCTGGCCAGCTCCGAGACACGCACTCCAATTTCGTACTTTGCAATTATCTCTTTCTTCATTTCCATAGTAATTTTCACCCTTTTTACCACAGGGTTGGCACTAGAAGCTTTCTTGGGGCCGATGGTGACTTATTTTGCAGTTACAAGCACTAAAAACAGTGATAATATGAAATGTACCGAATGTATGCTTAGATGCGACCGCACTGGCTGGCTTGTAAACACTGGCACCCACGGGGTAGCTGAGGCCACATGTGGGACGTGTCCCAGATGAATCACGTAAGGCGAGTTTTTTATCGTGTGGCTAGGCAAAATTTTTGCTTTCAAATGCTTCGTATGGCAGATTTATCATAACGCGATGCGTTCATAAGGCGGGGGTCCACTGTGTTAGTGTGCTTCTGAAGAAATCCTTTCACCATCATTCACTCTAGCATTGTCTTTGTCAGAGGCAAGTGTAGCATATCCATTTTTTTTTTTTTTTTTTTTAATTTTTTTTATATTGTCTTATGACAGTTTTTTAACAACTCCCAGATCATTTTTTGTATGATAGTCAGAATTTTGCTATCATCCTTTTTATTATAAAAAATGTGTAAAATTGTTGAATTTATGAAATGTTTGATTCATCCTAAGCTCTTTGATTCCAGATATTCTCAGAATATAACTTAGAGTTGAATGTTAGATGGCTGGCTGTTCTGTATTTCAAGAATGGTGTTGACAGATATTGGAGAAAAACTGCACCCAAGGCAATTAATGAGGCAGAAAAGGTATGTTTTCTAGTCATCTCCATGTATGTAAAGTCACTGACTTGATTGCAACTTTATCAGTATGATTTACCAAAAAGAAAGAAAAAAAAAAGAATATACAGATATCCCCCATATAAGAAACTAGACCTGCTTTACACGGCACTTGAAAAAAATGAATATCCATTAGGACTCTCTATTGACCCAAGGAAAGCTTTTGAAACAGTAGACCACAGCATCCTGCTACACAAATTAGATCATTATGGTATAAGAGGCCACACACTTACTTATTTCAAATCCTACCTTACTAACAGACATCTTACAATGGCTTACTACTACCATCTATAACTAAACCAACAAGAATCAGAGACGGGTACCTCACTACTTGATCATTTTTTTTTTTTTTAACACATCGGCTGTTTCCCACCGAGGCAGGGTGACCCAAAAAGAAAGAAAGAATACTTCCATCGTCATTAACCCCTTGACTGTCGCAACCCCTAATCCTGAGGCTACTTCCTGGTAAAAGTAGGTCTTAGATAGGGATGTGTAATGTCATCATGGTTGTTTAGTATATTTATAGATGGGGTTGTAAAAGAAGTAAATGCTAGGGTGTTCGGGTGAGGGGTGGGATTAAATTATGGGGAATCAAATACAAAATGGGAATTGACACAGTTGCTTTTTGCTGATGATACTGTGCTTATGGGAGATTCTAAAGAAAAATTGCAAAGGTTAGTGGATGAGTTTGGGAATGTGTGTAAAGGTAGAAAGTTGAAAGTGAACATAGAAAAGAGTAAGGTGATGAGGGTATCAAATGATTTAGATAAAGAAAAATTGGATATCAAATTGGAGAGGAGTATGGAAGAAGTGAATGTTTTCAGATACTTGGGAGTTGACTTGTTGGCAGATGGATTTATGAAGGATGAGGTTAATCATAGAATTAATGAGGGAAAAAAGGTGAGTGGTGCATTGAGGTATATGTGGAGTCAAAAAACGTTATCTATGGAGGCAAAGAAGGGAATGTATGAAAGTATAGTAGTACCAACACTCTTATATGGGTGTGAAGCTTGGGTGGTAAATGCAGCAGCAAGGAGACGGTTGGAGGCAGTGGAGATGTCCTGTTTAAGGGCAATGTGTGGTGTAAATATTATGCAGAAAATTCGGAGTGTGGAAATTAGGAAAAGGTGTGGAGTTAATAAAAGTATTAGTCAGAGGGCAGAAGAGGGGTTGTTGAGGTGGTTTGGTCATTTAGAGAGAATGGATCAAAGTAGAATGACATGGAAAGCATATAAATCTATAGGGGAAGGAAGGCGGGGTAGGGGTCGTCCTCGAAAGGGTTGGAGAGAGGGGGTAAAGGAGGTTTTGTGGGCAAGAGGCTTGGACTTCCAGCAAGCGTGCGTGAGAGTGTTAGATAGGAGTGAATGGAGACGAATGGTACTTGGGACCTGACGATCTGTTGGAGTGTGAGCAGGGTAATATTTAGCGAAGGGATTCAGGGAAACCGGTTATTTTCATATAGTCGGACTTGAGTCCTGGAAATGGGAAGTACAATGCCTGCACTTTAAAGGAGGGGTTTGGGATATTGGCAGTTTTGAGGGATATGTTGTGTATCTTTATACATATATGCTTCTAAACTGTTGTATTCTGAGCATCTCTGCAAAAGCAGTGATAATGTGTGAGTGTGGTGAAAGTGTTGAATGATGAAAGTATTTTCTTTTTGAGGATTTTCTTTCTTTTTTGGGTCACCCTGCCTCGGTGGGAGACGGCTGACTTGCTGAAAGAAAAGAAAAGATGCAAAAGAAGAAAATTAAAAGTGAATACAGGAAAGAGTAAGGTTATGAGGATAACAAAAAGATTAGGTGATGAAAGATTGGATATCAGATTGGAGGGAGAGAGTATGGAGGAGGTGAATGTATTCAGATATTTGGGAATGGACGTGTCAGCGGATGGGTCTATGAAAGATGAGGTGAATCATATAATTGATGAGGGGAAAAGGGTGAGTGGTGCACTTCGGAGTCTGTGGAGACAAAGAACTTTGTCCTTGGAGGTAAAGAGGGGAATGTATGAGTATAGTTTTACCAACGCTCTTATATGGGTGTGAAGCATGGGTGATGAATGTTGCAGCGAGGAGAAGGCTGGAGGCAGTGGAGATGTCATGTCTGAGGGCAATGTGTGGTGTGAATATAATGCAGAGAATTCGTAGTTTGGAAGTTAGGAGGAGGTGCGGGATTACCAAAACTGTTGTCCAGAGGGCTGAGGAAGGGTTGCTGAGGTGGTTCGGACATGTAGAGAGAATGGAGCGAAACAGAATGACTTCAAGAGTGTATCAGTCTGTAGTGGAAGGAAGGCGGGGTAGGGGTTGGCCTAGGAAAGGTTAGAGGGAGGGGGTAAATGAGGTTTTGTGTGCGAGGGGCTTGGACTTCCAGCAGGCATGCGTGAGCGTGTTTGATAGGAGCAAATGGAGACAAATGGTTTTTAATACTTGACGTGCTGTTGGAGTGTGAGCAAAGTAACATTTATGAAAGGGTTCAGGGAAACCGGCAGGCTGGACTTGAGTCCTGGAGATGGAAAGTACAGTGCCTGCACTCTGAAGGAGGGGTGTTAATGTTGCAGTTTAAAAACTGTAGTGTAAAGCACCCTTCTGGCAAGACAGTGATGGAGTGAATGATGGTGAAAGTTTTTCTTTTTCGGGCTACCCTGCCTTGGTGGGAATCGGCCAGTGTGATTAAAAAAAAAAAAAAAAAAAAAAAATTCGACTAATGGCTTTTGGGACCTGACGAGCTGTTGTAGTGTGAGCAGGTTAATACATGTATTTAGTGAAGGGATTCAAGGAAACTGGTTATTTTATATAGCCGGACTTGAGTCCTGGAAATGGTAAGTACAATGCCTGCACTTTAAAGGAGGGGTTCGGGATATTGGCAGTTTGGAGGGATATGTTGTGTATCTTAATATGTATATACTTCTAAATTGTTGCATTCTGAGCACCTCTGCAAAAACAGTGAGTATATGTGAGTAAGGTGAAAGTGTTGAATGATGATGAAAGTATTTTCTTTTTGGGGATTTTCTTTCTTTTTGGGTCACCCTGACTCGGTGGGAGACGGCCGACTTGTTAAAAAAAATATATGTATTTTTTTTTAACAAGTTATACGTCTCCCACCGAGGGAGGGTGACCCAAAAAGAAAGAAAATCCCCAAAAAGAAAATACTTTCATCATCATTCAACACTTTCACCTTACTCATACATAATCACTATCTTGGCAGAGGTGCCCAGATACAACAGTTTAGAAGCATTTATAAAGATGTATAACACCCCTCCCAACTGCCAATATCCCAAACCCCTCCTCTAAGGTGCAGGCATTGTGCCTCCCATTTCCAGTACTGAAGTCTGGCTATATTAAAATAACTGGTTTCCCTGAATCCCTTCACTAAATATTACCCTGCTCTCTCCAACAGCTCGTCAGATCCCAAAAACCATTAGTCTCCATTCACTCCTATCAAACACGCTCTCACATGTTTGCTGGAAGTCCAAGCCCCTTGCCCACAAAACCTCCTTTACCCCCTCTCTCCAACCTTTTTGAGGATGACCCCTCCCCCGCCTTCCTTTCCCTACAGATTTGTATGCTCTTTCATTCTACTTTGATCCATTCTCTCTAAATGGCCAAACCACCTTAACAACCCTGTTTCAGCCCTCTGATTGGTACTTTTATTAACTCCACACCTTCTCCTAATTTCCACACTCTGAATTCTTTGCATAACATTTACACCACACATTGCCCTTAGGCAGGGCATCTAAACTGCCTCCAACCGCCTCCTCGCTGCAGCATTTACAGCCCAAGCTCCACACCCATGTAAGAGTGTTGGTACCACTACATTTTCATTCATTCCCTTCTTTGCCTCCATAGATAATGTTTTTTTGTCTCCACATATACCTCAATGCACCACTCACCTTTTTTCCTTCATCAGTTCTGTGGTTAACCTCATCCTTCATAAACCCATCTGCTGCAATGTCAACTCCTAAATACAGTATCTGAAAATATTCACTTCTTCCACTCTCTCTCTCTAATGTGATATCCAATTTTTCTTTATCTAAATCATTTAATACCCTCATCACCTTAGTCTTGCCTGTGTTCACTTTCAACTTTCTACCTTTACACACCCTCCCAAACTCGTCCACTAAGCATTGCAACTTTTCTTTAGAATCTTCCATAAGCACAGTATCTTCAGCAAACAGTAAGTGTCAACTCCCATTTTGCATTTGATTCCCCATAATTTAATCCCACCCCTCTCCCCAACACCCAAGTATTTACTTCTTTTACAACCCCATCTATAAATATATTAAACAACCATGGTGACATTACACATCCCTGTCTAAGACCTACTTTTACTGGGAAGTAATCTCCTTCTCTTCTACACACCCTAATCTGAGTATCACTATCCTCATAAAAACTCATTACAGCATTTAGTAACTTACTACCTATTCCATATACTTGCAACATCTGCCACATTGCTCCCGTATCCACTCATTCATATGCCTTTTCTAAATCCATAAATGCAATGGAAAAGCTCCCTACCTTTATCTAAATACTGTTCACGTATATGCTTCAATGTAAACACTTGATCAGCACACCCCCTACCCACTCTAAAGCCTCTGATTCTTTCAATAATAACCCTACCGTACACTTTTCCTGGCACACTTGGTTAACTTCTTTGTTCTTTCAAAAAACTGGCCGTATCCCACTGAGGCATGGTTGCCCAAGAAGAAAAACAGAAGTTTCTCTTTTTAAATTTAGTTATGTATACAGGAGGAGTTACTAGTCCCTTGCTCCTGGCATTTTAGTCGCCTTATGCGACATGCATGGCTTATGGAGGAGGAATTCTGTTCCACCACCCATGGAAAACTCGTTAACTTGTTTCCCTGTAATTTTCACAATCTTTTTGTCCCCCTTCCCTTTTATATAAAGGATCTATACATGCTCTCTGCCAATCCCTAGGTGCCTTCCCCTCTTTCATACATTTATTAAACAAAAATTACCAGGTACAACACTATAACCCCCCTGCTTTTAACATTTCTGTCATAGTCCTGTCAGCTCCATCTTCCCAGTATCTCGTCCTCCCATTTAATAACTCCCTTCTTTTGTTTAAACCGTTCAGCCTGTTTGTTCCCTAGGCTTTAAGCTTATTAATCTTGCTTCAAAATTTTTTCTTATTCTCAACTAAATTTGTTGACAGAACTTCACCCACTCTCATTTGCTCTCCTTTTCCATTCCCTCACCACTCTTAACATCTTTTACTTTCCATTTACAGTGGATCCCCGGTATTTGATGGCATTGGCATTCGATAAATCCGGTATTCGATGCATTTTAACGCAAAAATTTCGCCTCGGTATCCGATCGAAAACCCAGTATTCGATGTGATTCGTACGAGACGTGTTCACATGTGGCCTGAACTGCCCCGTGTGTGCCAGTGTTTACAAGCCAGCCAGTGTGCGCACATCTAAGGATACATTCGGTACATTCCATATTATCACTGTTTTTGGTGCTTGTTTCTGCAAAGTAAGTCACCATGGGCCCCAAGAAAGCTGGTCAGGTTGTATAGTAAACCCCAATCAACCATCTCTACTATAGTGACCAGGAAAACAGCAATCAAGGAAGCTGTTCTTGCAAAAGGTGCAACTGTGATTACGAAACAGTGACCGCAAGTGTTAGAAAATGTTGAGAGACTGTTATTGGTGTGGATGAATGAAAAACGGATAGCAGGAGATAGCATCTCTCAAGCAATCATTTGTGAAAAGGCTAGGCAGTTGCATGACGATTTGGTAAAGAAATTGCCTGCAACTAGTGCTGATGTGAGTGAATTTAAGGCCAGCAGAGGTTGGTTTGGGAGATGTAAGAATCATAGTGGCATACATAGTGTGATTAGGCATGGTATGGCTGCCAGTTCGGACCAAAAAGCAGCTGAAAAATATGTGAAGGAATTCAAGGATTATATAGACAGTGAAGAATTTAAACCTGAACAAGTGTTTAATTGTGACAAAACAGGCATGTTTTGGAAGAAGATGCCAAGCAGGACCTACATTACTCAGGAGGAAAAGGCACTCCCAGGACATAAGCCTATGAAAGACAGGCTTACTCTGTTGATGTGTTCCAATGCTAGTGGTGATTGCAAAGTGAAGCCTTTATTGGTGTATCACTCTGAAACTCCCAGAGTGTTCAGGAAAAACAGTGTCCTCAAGGCTAATTTGTGTGTGCTGTGGAGGGCAAACAGTAAGGCATGGGCCACTTGTGACTTTTTCTATGACTGGTTACACCATGCATTTGCCCCAACTGTGAAAAATTACCTAATTGAAAAGAAATTAGACTTTAAGTGCCTCCTGGTATTAGACAATGCCCCTGGTCATCCTACAGACTTGGCTGAGCGACTTTCTGGGGACATGAGCTTCATTAAGGTCAAGTTTTTGCCTCCTAATACCACTCCTCTCCTGCAGCCCATGGACCAGCAGGTCATTTCAAACTTCAAGAAACTGGACACAAAAGCTATGTTTCAAAAGTGCTTTGTAGTAACCACAGAAACTTGACTGACTCTAAAAAGAGTTTTGGAAGGATCACTTTAATATCCTCAATTGTATAAACCTTATAGGTAAGGCTTGGGAGGGAGTGATTAAGAGGACCTTGAACTCTGCTTGGAAAAAAACTGTGGCCAGAATGTGTACACAAAAGGGATTTTGAAGGATTTGAGGCTAACCCTGAGAAGCCTATGCCAGTTGAGGAATCCATTGTGGCATTGGGGAAGTCCTTGGGGTTGGAGGTTAGTGGGCAGGATGTGGAAGAGTTGAAGGAGGACAATGACAAACTAACCACTGATGAGCTGCTAGATCATCTTCAACAGCAAGAGGCCAGACCTGAGGAAACTGCTTTGGAGGAGGGGATAGAGATATTGAAGAAGTTGCCTACTTCAAAGATTAAGGAAATGTGTGCAATGTGGCTTAAAGTGCAAACCTTTTTTGATGACAATCACCCTAACACAGCTATTGCAAGCCATGCTGGTGACTATTACACTGACAATGTTGTGAAACACTTTAGGAATGTCATAAAGAAACGGGAGGTACAGGCCTCTATGGACAGATATGTTGTGCGACGAACGTCCAGTGACTTTCAAGCTGGTTCTAGTGGCATTAAAAGAAGGGAAGTAACCCCGGAAAAGGACTTGGTACCTCAAGTCCTAATGGAAGGGGATTCCCCTTCTAAACAGTAACAACTTTGACACTCCCCTCCTCCCATCCCATCAATCATCACCAGATCTTCATTATAGGTAAGTGTCAATTATTCTATTGTTATTATTCTATTGTTAACTTAATATTTCATTTGGTAAATTTTTTTTTTCATGCTTTTGGGTGTCTTGCACGGATTAATTTGATTTCCATTATTTCTTGTGGGGAAAATTGATTCGCTTTTCGATATTTTCGGTATTCGATGAGCTCTCAGGAACGGATTAATGTCGAATACTTGGGGTCCACTGTACTCCACCCTCCTTATATCACTTCTGCTTTGTAAAAATCTTTTATGCTAACCTTTTCTCTTTTACACTTCCTTTTCCTTGTCATCCCACCAATTGCTCCTCTTCCCTCCAGCACCCACCATCCTGTTTAACTTTTTTGTGGAAGCTGAATAGCCTTGCAGATTAAAGTGCTTTTGTAAGTCCTCCCACCATATTATAAATGTTGCACCACGAGGATGGAGGAATTACGTAGAACTAGACTTGATGCCACACTTGTCAGGCACTCTAGTACAAGTAGGATATGTTACTGCTTCACCACTGGACGTGAAACTACCATATTCTAACTAGATCCTGAACGATTTCTACCTTATTGTTGCATGTACATTAATTTGAAATTTCACTTTGTATTGACAGATTTTTGCTCCTATGGTTTACTTAAAAAATTTCCTCCCTCTGCGTGCTGCAAACCACCTTGTGGTTACTTATTCTGTTATTAAAGATTTTGTGATAGAATAAACAATTTGCAAAAATGTATAATTTACCATTTTTTCAGACACAGATTAGATGTGGTCTTCTTCATAATCTGCGAGAACCTGTCCCACAAGTGGCTATACAGCTTGCCGTACTTATAGCCAAGATTGCTCGTGTGGATTGTCCCCGAGAATGGCCAGATCTTCTTCCTGCTCTCTTTGAGGCTGTTAAGAGCAATGATCAGCTTGTTCAGCATCGCACTCTTCTTACTTTGCATCATGTTATCAAACAACTGGCATCTAAGAGATTGGCAGCTGACAGGCGTACCTTTCAGGTATAGTAAAATTGAAAAAGAAATTGTTTGTTGGGATCTCTTTCTCTGTAATTTCTTAACCCTTTCTGGGCTGAGACCCCTGATCTCAGACTTGCTCTCAGGGTTGAAGAATTGAAAAAAAAAAAAAAATGAAGTGATAGAGAATCTTTTTTTTCTAAAGGCAATGAAACCAAAAGTACAAAATTTGATGGGAATCTTAGAGAATTATGCTCTTGCAAAGTTAGCAGCCTTGACAACTGTTTTTATACATCATCAATTTTGCCCACTTTGCACTACATTCTTAGCCATTTCCATCATTCCAGTTGACCAAACTCGTAGCTATTTCATTAATATTCCTTCTATTCTGTCGACTGAGTACAAGAAACCACCACTTTTTTTTTTTTTTTTTTTTTTTTTTTTTTAAACACTTCTGCCATTTCCCACCAAGGCAAGGTGACCCAAAAGAAAGACAAACCCAAAATGAAAGAAAGAACTTTCATTATCATTCAACACTTTCACCATCGCTCATACATAATCACCGTCTTTGCAGAGGTGCCCAGATATGACAGTTTAGTCACCCCAAACTGCCAATATCCCAAACCCCTCCTTTAAAGTGCAAGCATTGTACTTCCCATTTCTAGGACTCAAATCTGGACTTGAGTCCTGGAGATGGGAAGTACAGTGCCTGCACTCTGAAGGAGGGGTGTTAATGTTGCAGTTTAAAAACTGTAGTGTAAAGCACCCTTCTGGCAAGACAGTGATGGAGTGAATGATGGTGAAAGTTTTTCTTTTTCGGGCCACCCTGCCTTGGTGGGAATCGGCCAGTGTGATAATAAAAAAAAAAAATCCGGCTAACCAGTTTCCCTGAATCCCTTCACAAAATATTACCTTGCACACACTCCAGCAGCTCGTCAGGTCCCAAAAAACCATTTGTCTCCATTCACTCCTATCTAACACACTCATGCGTGCTTGCTGAAAATCAAAGCCCCTTGCCCACAAAACCTTTATCCCCTCCCTCCCTCCCAACGTTTTCGAGGATGACCCCTACTCCACCTTCCTTCCGCTACAGATTTACACGCTCTCCAAGTCGTCCTGCTTTGTTCCCTTCCTTCTAAATGATCAAACCACCTCAACAACCTACACACCTTAACCTGAGCCTCACTATTCTCATAAAAACTCTTTACAGCATTTAGTAGCTTACTACTTATTCCATACACTTACAACATCTGCCACATTGCTCCCCTATCCACTCTACCATGTGCCTTTTCTAAATCCATAAATCCATGGATGCATACTTATTCCTCTGTAATTTTTAGATTCTCTTGTCCCCTTCCTTTTATATAAAGTAACTATACACACACACTGCCAGTCCCTTGGTACCTTCTCCACTTTCGTGCATTTATTAAACAAAAGTACCAACCACTCCAAAACTATATCCCCACCTGTTTTTAACCCTTTGAGGGTCCATCCTGTAGTTCTAAGGCTTCGAAGTTGGGGTTCAAGCCGTAGAACTACATTGTGCTCAACTCACTCAGGAAAGCTGCAAGTGCTAAATTTGGACCTAGATATGAGAGAATGCATCAATGTGGGAAGTGTGCACCATATAAAACAAATCCTGCAATCGTGTTTTTGGATTAAAACAGTGACTTTGCGATGTATTTTCATGTGGTTTTTAGTTGTATTCACGGTTTCTTGGTCTCATTTGATAGAATGGAAGATATATTTCAGAATAAAGATGATTTTGATTGATTTTAGTACTCAAAATAGCTTGAAATTGAGCTTAAAGTAGCAGAAATTATTCATTTTTTACCATTGTTCAAGAGTACTCAAATCACATCATGTATCCAATACACATGAACTAGAGGGTCTAATGTGCATTCACAAATGCGGTGATATTGCATAACGGTCTTGCATAACAGTAGATCTTCTATTTTTTTGGTGTGAATAAAAATTCTTAATGTGAAAGAAAATGGAATTCATGTGTAAAGCCTGGAAACATAACTAATATAGAGAGAAAATGTTTTATTGCCAGAAATGCCTGCATTGTTGATTCTGGACCCTGTTTTGAAATTGGAATATTTTGAACCTTGTGTGAGATTCGCCAAATTACCAGTTTCCGATCACTTTATTGGATAGTTGAAATAGTTGACTGGGTGATTTCTTGTGCTCGGTAGATAAAATGGAACATATACTAGTGATATAGCTGAGAATAGTTGTCTAATGGAACACTGTAATTGACTGAAAATAGGACTCAAAGTGAACAAAATCATCAATGCGTAAATATCAGACAGCAAAATTTGTGAGTGTCGTTTCATTAATTTTTGATCAGATTTCATATGGGTGTGAAGCGTGGGTGATGAATGTTGCAGCGAGGAGAAGGCTGGAGGCAGTGGAGATGTCATGTCTGAGGGCAATGTGTGGTGTGAATATAATGCAGAGAATTCGTAGTTTGGAAGTTAGGAGGAGGTGCGGGATTACCAAAACTGTTGTCCAGAGGGCTGAGGAAGGGTTGTTGAGGTGGTTCGGACATGTAGAGAGAATGGAGCGAAACAGAATGACTTCAAGAGTGTATCAGTCTGTAGTGGAAGGAAGGCGGGGTAGGGGTCGGCCTAGGAAGGGTTGGAGGGAGGGGGTAAAGGAGGTTTTGTGTGCGAGGGGCTTGGACTTCCAGCAGGCATGCGTGAGCGTGTTTGATAGGAGTGAATGGAGACAAATGGTTTTTAATACTTGACGTGCTGTTGGAGTGTGAGCAAAGTAACATTTATGAAGGGATTCAGGGAAACCGGCAGGCCGGACTTGAGTCCTGGAGATGGGAAGTACAGTGCCTGCACTCTGAAGGAGGGGTGTTAATGTTGCAGTTTAAAAACTGTAGTGTAAAGCACCCTTCTGGCAAGACAGTGATGGAGTGAATGATGGTGAAAGTTTTTCTTTTTCGGGCCACCCTGCCTTGGTGGGAATCGGCCGGTGTGAAAAAAAAAAAAAAATTCATATTTGTTTTATTACCTTCAGAAAAAGATTCTCTACCATTTCATAAGAAAAATCTTTTTTTTTTTTTTAAATTCTTGGACCCTGTGGGGAATTTTCATTCTACCCAGTGCATCAAATACCTCCCCACACTCACATCTGGCTCCTCATCACTCCTAAAAGATATTATACCTCCCTGGTTAATGCATGAAATTTCTGCCTCCCTCTCTTGATTAACATTTAACAGTTCATCAAAATATTCCTACCCTCTTCACAGTATCTCCAACTCCCCATCTACTAATTCCCCTATTCTGTTTTTCACTCTCAAATTCATTTGTTCCCTAGGCTTTCTTAACCTATTTATCTCTAAATTTTTTTCTTATTTTCAGCAAAACTTGTTGAAAGCACCTCACCCACTTGTATCATTTGCTCTCCTTTTGCATTCCCTCAAAACACTCTTCACGTCTTTTACTCTCCATTCTCCACCCTTCTTGTATCATTTCTACTTGGTAAAAATCTCTCATAAGTGATCTTTTTCTCTGTTATCACACTCTTTACCTCATCATTCCACCAGTCACCCCCTCTTTTCTCCTGCACCCACCCTCCTATAGCCACAAACTTCTGCCCTGCATTCTAACACTGCATTTTTAAAACTATCCCACCCCTCTTCAACCCTGCACTACTTACACTAGCCCACCTTTCTCCCATTAGTTGCTTTTATCTCACCCTAACTTTCTCCTCCCTTAGTTTATAAACTTTCACTTTTCCTTTTGCTCCATCTACCTCTTATTCTAACTGTATCCACAACTAATGATTTGATATCTGTTGCCCCTCTATGAACATGCAAATCCTGAAGTCTGCCCAACAACCTTTTATCCACCGATACATAATCTAACAAACTACATACTTTCATTACATGCTTTATCATATTTTGTATAATTATTTATCCTCTTTTTCTTATTACCAAACCTCTTTGTATACATCAATTAAAATCTACCCCCTCTCCATTTTCATTTACCCCTGACACCCCAAACTAACCTACTACTACCACAACAGTTTTACCCACTTCAGCATTTAGGTCTCCCCCTACAAGTACTGCTCACTTGGTTCAGAAGTTCCCAAGCACTCAGCATCTCCCAAAATCTCTCTCCTCTACACTTTTCTTCTCCAGGTGTATAAACACTTTAGATGTATAAACTCTTCACATCCGACCCTTATTTTACTCCATGTAATCCTTTTATATTCCCTCTTTTTCTGCCATAACTGGTCCTGCAACATTGTTGCTATTCCTTCCTTACCTCTAACTCTATTAGTAAACCCTGAAACTCTCCTACCCCCTTCAACTTTGTTTCACTTAGAGCCAGGACATCAGCTTCTTTTCATTCATAACATCCACAATCATCTTATCATCCACACATTCAGACATCGCAGCTTAAAGGTTTTATTTTTATTTTTAGTTAGCTATATGGGAAAAGGGGTTTACTAGTTCATTGCTCCTGGCATTTTAGTTTACTTTTACAACACACATGGCTTACGGAGGAAAGGTTCTTATTTCACTTCCCCATGGATATGAAAGGAAAAATTAGAACAAGAACTATTAAGAAAAAATCTAAAAACTCAGCTGAGTGTGTATACATCTATGTATATGCATGTGTAGTGTCACCGAAGTGCAAGTGAAAATAGCAAGATATATCTGTTATCTTGTGTGTTTTAGACGGAAAAAATACACCAACACTCCTACCATCGTTTAAAACAAATACTGGCCGATTCCCACCAAGGCAGGGTGACCCGAAAAAGAAAAACTCTCACCATCATTCACTCCATCACTGTCTTGCCAGAAGGGTGCTTTACACTACAGTTTTTAAACTGCAATATTAACACCCCTCCTTCAGAGTGCAGGCACTGTACTTCCCATCTCCAGGGCTCAAGTCCGGCCTGCCGGTTTCCCTGAACCCCTTCATAAATGTTACTTTGCTCACACTCCAACAGCACGTCAAGTATTAAAAACCATTTGTCTCCATTCACTCCTATCAAACACGCTCACGCATGCCTGCTGG